TGGTTTTCCGTCATCGCGGCGTGTCTTGTGAGGCAGCCGGATTCTGTGCCTTGAATCAGGTTTCTCTGCTCAAGTTGCGCCTTGGTCGCCGCGACGCGGCGACAGTTGCGGCGGTTGAGCTGTTTTTTGAAGAATACTTCCATGGATCACTGTTGGTGGAGCATCGCGCGGATCGCATGATTTATTCTCTGCCAAGAGACACGAGGCTCTCAGTGGCGTTTGATCTGCTTGAGAATCACTTTCGTTCGCTTGGGTTGACGGACTACCACGTGTCGCAGACGTCGATCGAGCAGGTGTTCCTGCGCATCAGCGAGGAGGCTGAGCGTGCGCGCGAGGAGGAGGCGCAGCGAGCGACGGAGGCGGATAAGTGTGTCTGCTGTCCCTGGTGCTGACGTGATGAATGTCCCTGCGGGAGGAAGGGCCGGAGTTTGTAGTGTGAACTGGATAATTTTTCTTCATTGTGTTCTTAACTTTGTATGTAGGTTTGTTGTTGCATTTTTTTAAAACTTTCTTCCGTGAATTGTTTTGCGTTTGTGCGGTTCTCTGTGGTATTTCGTGACGTGTGTTTTGGCGGCGTGCAATTATTGTTTTTTTTTTGTTCTGTATTTCCTATGACTGGGAGCGTGTGGATGCTGTTTGTGTGTTCGCTGGGGCATTTGGTGTTTTACCTACCGTGGCGCTCTGCTGTCTCCCCCTCCCCCCCTTTTTTTTTGTAGCGGGCCTCTTGCCTCATTGTGTCTTTTTTTTTCGGTTCATGGGAAGCTTCTGCTGCTGCACTGTTGTATTATGTCGCTCCCTCCTTCCTCACGTCTGCCAATGATTGACATTGGCATAAATCTGACGGACGCCATGTACCACGGTGTGTACCACGGCCAAAAGAAGCACCCCGCCGACATTGACGCGGTGCTTGCACGCGCGGTCGCCGTTGGCGTGCGCTCTCTCCTGATTACCGCCGGCTCCTTGAAGGAAAGTCGCGAGGCCATAAAACTCTGTGGCAAGTACAGCTCCAAGTCGCTGCAGTGTTACTGTACCGTTGGCTGCCATCCGACCAGGTGTGGCGAATTTGCAAAGGACCCTGATAGGTACTACGAGGAGCTGCGCGCGTTGGTGGCGGAGCACACGGTGCAGCGTGAGGGTGGGTGCGTTGCAGCTATTGGCGAATTGGGGCTAGACTATGATCGGCTTTTTTTTGTGAGAAGTCGGTTCAGATGCCTTACTTTGTGAAGCAGTTGGGGTTGGCTGAGGAATTTCAGCTGCCGCTCTTTCTGCACGACCGCAATACTGGGGGGGATTTCCTCAAGGTGCTCGCGCAGCATCGTCAGCGCTTTAAGGGCGGGGTTGTGCACAGCTTCACCGGATCCAAGGAGGATCTGGAACGGCTGCTTGAACTTGGACTTTTTATCGGCGTGAATGGCTGCAGCTTAAAGGGGGAGGATAATCTTGCTGTTGCGAAGGCCATTCCACTGGATCGACTCATGATCGAAACCGACGGGCCATGGTGCGAGATACGCAGCACACACGCCTCCCACAAAGTTTTGCAGGAGGTGGCAAAGTGCGGCGGGGTCTCGGAAGCATTGCTAAGCCCCTACTACCCCGCGTGTCGCAGGGAAAAGTTTCAGGAGGGGGCGGTTGTCAAATCGAGGTGTGAACCGTGTCACCTGCTGCAGGTGTTGGAGGTGCTCTACGGGCTCCATCGCGGCGAGGTGGCGTCCCTGGAGAGCCTGGCTGCCACTATTTACAGCAACACCCGAAAGCTCTTCCCTTTTCGGCCACACGACTTGGAGGCGTAGGGGCGGGACAAGGTGCTCTTCTAGGGGGGAGGGCACAGCCACCGTGTGCTTTGTGCTCTTCTTCGCGTTGCCCCCTCTTTTTTTCTCCTTTTATTTTTCTTTCTATGCATTTTGGCGCCCAGTGCGACGCGCCTGCCCCTTCTTCTTACGAATGTTGGTTGTCGTGACCGATGCCCCGTCTCTGCTTCTTTAGTTTCTCTCGAGTTTTGGAAGGACGGTGATGGACGCCGACGAGGATGTGGCGAAGCTGTCACCTGCTGCGCTGCTCGTGCGCGTTCAACGCTGCGAGAGGCTGTTGAGCCACCCAACCCTTTTGAGTCGCCTCCCCGACGGGGGTGCGGCCATTCGCGGCCGTCACGCGTTGTGCGTCGCCGAAAGGGCCCGACGCGAGGCCGCGGGAGACGCTGCTTCTGCCACGAGGCAGCAGGAGGCCGTGCGGCCGGTGGAGGGGCAGGCGCGTGGGATGACGACAGCACCTGAGGGGCTGTCTGAGGCGGCAGCAGGCGGGCGGGCAGGGTGCCACGCCTCTCCGAATACGTCTGAGCGGAGCGTAGACGAAGAGGAAACGGCTGCGGAGTCGTACGAAGATGTGGCACGTGCCGTTGGCGAGAAGCACCGACACAGTCGAGTTCCTGTCGAGACGATTGTGCGCCAGACGTTTGAGGGATCGCTCTGCGAGGCGGAAATCCAGCGTATGCTGCACGACGTCCCGCCAAACTTCTTCTTGACATATGACGAGACCGTCTCGATGCAGCGAAGCCTCCTCGCCGGGGAACGTCACGAAGCGCTTAAGCGGTTGTGGCAGCAAACGCATGCCGAGCTGTAAGTGAGGCAAAATCAACAACTATTAACAAGAAGAAGCATACAAAAAAAAAAAAGGAACATGCCTCTTTTTTTTTGTACTCTGCTTTTAGTTTTTGTTCCAGTCATAGTTATCTGTTCTGGAGACCAAGAGGGACGGGGTTGACTGAAATGAGAATGCAAAAACCCTTTCTCGCCCTGCCTTCTCATCACATGAGGCTTCGCTTCTTCTTCCGCCTCTTTGTTTTCCAAGTTGCAGGCGCCCGCCTTACGTCCCCTCTCTTTCATGTCTCTGCAGGATGTTATTGGGGGTTTTAAATACTTGGCCGCCTGTGCCCTCCAATTGGAGCGTGTTGGCGAAGGCGCTTTCCGCAGTGTGTCTCTGTGGACACCCTCTGCCTCTAAGGTGGCGTACGGCGGGCAGTTGGTGGCGCACTCTGCCGAGGCCGCGTATCGCACGGTGGACGACCCCACGATGGAGATCATCAGCCTTCAACTGAAATTTTTATCGGCGGGGAAAAGTGACTGTGGATCGCCAGTGGTGTATACTGTGAAATCGCTGCATAATAGCCGCTCTTTTTGCTCGCGAATGGTGTTGGCGGAACAAGAGGAGCGAAATATTCTCTCTGCCCTCGTTTCTTTTCATCGTCGAGAGCGCGGTTGCTTTGAGCATCAAATATGTCAGCCACGGCGCCTCACCAAGCCTGCACCTGCAGAGGGTGCCCCTTATTCTCGCCTAAAAGATGGGCGTTGCTTAGCGTTACCCAAGCAGGTGCGTGAGGCTGTTTGTCGAGAGGCGGAAGTGGCTTCTGTGGGTTACGCAAACCTCATGAATTTAACTACCATTCATGGCACCGAGCCGTGGGATTGGTGGCTGCGAGTGGAACCGGAAGGGTGGGCATTACTGCAGAAGGACACTGACATTCCAGAGAGACGCCTACACATAATTGTGGCTTGCTGGCTCTCTGACTTTGCTGTGGCCATTGCATCACTGTTTCCGCACACGTTTCCAAACAGCGGTCTTCGGCAGTTTGTCAGTCTGGATCATACCATTTATTTTCACCATCCGGACCGTATTCGTGTTGAAGAATGGTTTTTGTACGAGGTCTTCAGTCCTTGGGCAGCGCAAGGCCGAGGTCTCAGTGAAGGCCGCATATATGGACCGGACGGGACGCTTTGGATGAGCACCGTACAGCAAACGCTCATGCGCACAGGGAACGACTATAAATCCCGCCTCTAGCGCCCCTGGGGGAGTGCCGTGCTCTGTGTGCTTTTTCGTGCCGCGCTGCTTGGGAATGGGGATGGAGCTTTCATGAGGCTGGCTTGTTAGATGCTGTTGTGTATTCTTTTTTTTTTCGTTGATGTTGTTCTTGCTGCGTGTTAAGGTCATTCTTGACCTTTTTTTTTTCGTTCTGTGTGACGCCTTTGCCGCTGTCCCTCCTCCCTCCTCCCTAGGAGGGTCTGCGTGCCTGCTCCTTCGTACAGCATAATCTCCTCGTCACCTGTGCGCCCCTGTTCTTGCGGCAATGCGTACGGCAGCGGAGGCCAACAAAATTCTTCGGCGGCACATGTTGTACGTCAATGCGCCACAGGCGGGGGCGGGATGGACGAGTGGGCACGCCACAGCCACGACGTTGCAGGGTGGGGCACGCGGCAGTGCTGTTCCAACACAGCTTCCTCAGTTTTCTCACCCCATGCACGTGGTTGCAAAAAACGTTTCGGTACGGCATGCGCTTAAACACCTCGAGGCCGTTGAGAAAGCTGGATGTGTAAGAGACTTGGAGCTGCTACGAGAATCTCTTGTTGTTTGCTGTGGCACTACTTGGCGATTTCCTCCCCCGCAGGTGACATTGTTGGAATTGCTTTGTATATTTCACGAGCACATGCGGTATCACGTAGATGCAGGGGGTTCTGTTGCGGGAGACTACATTCTCAGCTCACTTTGCTTTTTTTTCCACTGCGATCGCCAGGAGGCCCTTCAAAGGTACGCCGTTCCACTTGTGGAACTGGGCATTTTGCGTCCTGCGGACTTAAGCTGCCGCAGCTTGGGAAAATTTGAAGCCGTGCGTTGTTGCTACAGACCTGCTTGTACTTCGGATCTCTGCTCACTCCCTCTTCGGGAGACACTTTCGCGATTTGTATGCATTTTTTGCCATCAATCCTGCGTTGAAGGAGGCAATGAGCTTATCTACCTCAGCCACTCACGCTGGGTGTTTGGCCCACCGCCCGATGTTTCTGACGCGAAGGACTCCCTAGACTCCCCCTTTAGCCCATTTCCAGAGTCCCTCCGTCGTGGATTTCTCGGACCTCTCATGCAGTTTGTAACATCGTTTTGCATTGCTGATTGTAAAGTGCATGATGCATGGGGCAGTGACTGCTGCATTGTTTGCCTCGACGGGGTGAAGGTGGCGTTGGTCCTGCTAGCACTGAACAACACGCCTCTCATGACGGTAAACCCAGGCGAGAAGAAATTGGGCAGGTGCGATTGCCCAACGACAGTCTTATTTGGGTTTCCTGAAGATGTGCCAGATGCGCGTATTAGGTTGGCGCTGCAATGTATGCTTGATGTGATTGAACTGCGAGAAGGACCTCGCGTGGATTTCGGCGCCGTCTTTGGTCAGTCGCCAGATGCGTTCCGACGATGGTGCCGATCTATCGGTACCCAGCTTTTTCACATGACAAGTGAGCTTTTCTTTCGCCCCCAAACCACGAGCTATGGTTCGTCGCTACGGCCTGATTGGGAGCTGTTGTCTTTGCCGGGAGCTGATAAGAGTCGATACGAGCGGAACGAACGTGGAGGTGTCTCAGGTGAGCCGCACTTTATGTACCCTTTCATACACACCGCTTCCTTGTCGCGGCGGACTTTTGCACTAGCGTTGGATCTGCGCTGGAGCTTCGAGAAGGCCATTGCGGCCACGCGAACACTTGGGGGCGGCTTTGCGGCGGTGATTCTGTTGGGCGCCCAGGTGCTACTCACAGACTTCCACCCCTATCTAACCGCACTGCTAAGCGCAGAGGCGCGCCTGGACGCCCTCGCCGCGGACGCGGATCTCCAGCCTCCTTACTCTATTTCTTTGGCTGACGGCGCGTTTGGCGGCAGCGAGGACGGCGGAATCCCTCCACGCCTGTGGAGTAGGGTGGTTTTCTCTAATTCTCGCGGGTCATCTCTGCGCCTCGCTTGGCGGTATCTTCCAGCACACGTGGTTCGTTTTACGCAACACGAGAGGGAGGACGTGGATGTAACCGGCCTATTCTACCGCTCAGCTTCTGTGACGGTGGGAGATGTGACGTTGGTGATGCTCATTGGCAACGGAAGCAATTCCTCCGTTCCTGCAGTGAAGGAGGCCGACGAGGTCTGGGGCGAGCTGGAGGGTGTATGCCTACGGGAACTGGCGGAGCGGGAGCATGAGATGATGATGCTCGCCTCGGTCGTGGCAGAGTGTGAGGCGCCGCAGCGCTGCCCGGATGGTGACTCACGCGAGGATGAGGCCTTTTGCGTTTTCCACGATCTAACCACCGGGACGCCAGCGCTGCTTGGTTCACGCAGCGGCATTTCGGCCTCCGACACAATCAACTTGGAGCCGTCCTTTGAAAACGGGATATCACACGTGCAGTCGCTGCTCGGACGTCCCTTTTGCCCACCCCAACGTTACGACGACGACGCGCTGGCCACCTCTTTTGTGTTTGCCGAACTTCCCATTACACGCGCCGTATTGGGCCGTACAGCGTTTGGGGGTGGACAAGGCCGGCGATCGACCGGGGCTCTTTACGCTTGCCAATCGGGTGGGCAGGAATACTTTTTTACCGATAACAAACTTTCCACGCTTTTTGCTGTGGAGGACGCCTTTGTGGACTTTCTCGCTTTGCATGCAGGCGAAGAGGAAGTAAATGTTATGAATAATTAGGCCACTAAACCAACCAACACCCACCGAAAAGGTCGAGAGTCCTCATACAAGTTGCAGCTTGATCTCCCTGTTTGCTTTTTTTTTCATTTACTTGTTCCTCTACTTATTGGCGTTGTTGTCGCCTTGCGCACTCTCGTTTTCTCGAACTTTTTTTTTTTTTGCTTCTTGGGACTCTGGCTATGTGTGTATGTCTCTGCGTCTATGTGCAGCGGAGTACTTTGCTTCCTCTCTCACCCCCCCCCCGTTTGTTCGTTTGTTTATTTTTGTTTACTTCTTTGTTTGTGACTCTTTGTTCCGTACTTTTCAGAATTATTGAAGTTGTGTAGCGTCGTGGTGTCTTGCGCCGCATGTGGTCTGTCATCCGTCGGCTGCAAGGGGAATCGCCCTCCTCGGAGGGCGCCTGTGGTGAGTCGCGTTGTGAGCGCAATCAGCGGTGCATCATGATGCACGAGATGAAGCGCTACCCACGGTCGTTGGATCCGGACATCTTTACGAGACCCTTTGGGGAACTGGAATATGAAAAGGTGCGTCTCTGGATGCTGGACGAAAGCGTCGACAAGCGTCGTCAAGCGATGAACCACCTCCTTGAGCTGTACGTGCTGCAGCGGGAGAATGTGGTTCGTAGTCTCCGGTATGGGTTTCTTGATGTGGTACTTTCTACGCTTCACCACGATGAGTCCGAGGAAATGCGGTGCAAAGCGGCAGAGGCCCTCGCGTTTTTGCTGCGAGAGACAAACGGTCTAGACATGTTTCTTGCGATGGATGACGAGAAGGCGGCGCTTTCTGAACTGCTAAAAGCATTAGATGATCCTTCAAGGGAGGTTGTCATACTTGTACTGCGCGTGACCATCGCGTGTCGTGCCGCATACAATGCGTACGAGGCGACGCTACGTCTTGTAAAGTACGGCTTTATCGAGCGTTGCATCGCGCTGCTGCGTCATGAGGAGGACAGAGTGGCTGCAACGGCGTGCTCGGCCCTCGTGACCATTTTTGCCGTCAAGGAGGCCTTTATTCAGTTTATACGAGCAGGCGGAATGGAGGAGGTGACGGAGGCCTTGAAGCGAAGTGACCCGTTCGTTGTGGCCGAGGCTGCGGAGGTGGTGATTCAAGCCGCCGTGTATCGTTTGGGCAAAAAGGCTGCGGTGAACCACAACACCCTGGTAGCGTTGCAGCCCTACATGTTGCATGATAATCTGAGGGTGCGCACGGCCGTCACCGGGGCGGTGGCGCAGCTCACCATTTACGAACCCGGCAAACAGCAGGCTGTGGACGAAAATGTTGCTACGATCCTCCTGGAGCTTCTCATGCAGGAAGAGGAGCGCGATGTCTTGGTTAATGTGCTCAAGACCGTTGTGAACGTCGCGGAACACCCAGCGGGGAGGCGTCAGCTCCTGGGGGCGAAAGATCGACTGCTGTTCATTGCTCGAGAAGCCGACGATTACCAGCCACTTACCTCGTCCGTCGCAGAGGCACTGAGCCAGCTCGAACGAAAGTGTTAGGCAACTGACTCTACTGTTTTTTTTTCTTCTCTCTTTCTTTCTGTCCGCTTCTGCGAGTGTGCCACTTCGAATGGCCATGTGTTTCTGTTTATCCCCAGATGTATAAGTCGAGTAGATACCTACTGTGGGGTTCGCGGGTGACGCATGTGCGCTGTGCTTTCTGTCGCATTAATGATGGGGAGTGGTGTAAAATTCTCGTACCTTTTTTTTTTTGCTCCCGCAGGCTGGCATTATTATTATTATTATTATTATTATATATATATATATTTCTGCGGACGTTTTTTTCCACAAGAATCCCAGCAACTGAAAAGGAAAGGATAGATTGAGTGATATAGGAAGCGAGGAGCGTACCGAGAAGGACCGGGTGTGTGCAGAGGGGAATCGGATATTGTGTTCGCATTAGAGGTATACGGCATATTATATTCTATACAGCTGTATATACCAACCTGTATACACAGCAATGGTTAATGGCCCTGTACAGAGAACGCAGTCTCCAACGTCGCGACGGCGCCCACTCAAAAGGAACAGGCAAAAGAATTCCCCAGGGAATGGAGGGGCATGGCGGAGTCACATGGGCGTTGTGCTCAACCTTGCGACGTGCATTGATACCCTTGCCAATGCCTCCGCGCTTCCCATTGTAACACTTCACAGTGCAGCTGTTCCGCTGTCTCTCTGGTCCTTGGCCATGGCTCAAGCGCTTTTCTTCTTCCCACAGTTGTGGAGTTCACTCATTGCCGATCGCTTTGCACGGCGCTTCAACGGGATTACTGCATACGCGGCAACACTACTCGCCACGGCGATCAGTATCCTCGTCACTGCAAATGCGCTTCGTGAACACTCCTTGTTTTTGTATTTGCTTGCACGTCTGATGAACGGTCTCTTTCGTCACACTTCCTTGTTCGCCGCTCTTGCCATTCATGAACTTCCCGATGCATCAAAAGGATGTGACGCAAGGAAACTTTCTCGTGTCAGTCTTATCGCGGCAATGGTTTTTGGTGGAGCCCTTGGGGACTACGTTGCGGATGTGGCTGCTGCAACTGACATCCTGGCTGTCATGGAGTTTGCAACTGCCTTGGCGCTCATGTTTCTCTCCTTTACGTGTACATTTAGGTCAAAGGCCGGTAACGCGGTTCCGACGGTGAAAGCGTATAAAAATTGGCTGATGAAACAGAGCTCTCACTGGATTCCGGCCTTTGCGCCTAGCGCCCTCAGCGCCAGTTATGGATCTATGATCCAGTGTATGTATCCTTTCATAGACCGGAACTTCTTTCACTTGGACTATGTCTATATTGGACTGCACATGGCAGTGCTTATTGCTGTTCAAGTCTTTTTGGCGCCTTTTGTGGTAAAACGATATGGCGAAAGGAACCCGTGGATGATTCATATTTGTGCCACGTTCCTTTTTTTGGGTGCGTGGACCAGCCCTTGGGTAACTAATAACGGTCTTGTATTGTACTTGTGCATGACACTGCTCTTGACGGATCTTCCCGCCGCTGTGTTGGAGCTGATGTTTTCTTCGGCGGCTGAGGGCGATTTCAAGGCCTCCGAGAAGGGGTTTGCAATTACACTGCATCGTCACGTCAAACAGACCTTGAAACAGTGGTCTCGTATCCTTCTTGTCTCTGTTCATACAATGCTAGGCAATCGTGAGGATGCAACGCGCGTAGCAACGATGCCTATTGCAATGGGTCTGGTTGCACTCATTTTTACACGGCAGACGAGTGCGGCATTGATTGTTGTCCCGCTCGCTGCTTGGGTACTGGCGACCTCTCCCCCCCTGGACGGCGAAGCCATTTGGACTCCGTTCATGTCGCAGCTTCGTTCAATGATCTCTGTGCGCCCCACGGACGGGCCTTGAAGCTTTACCATCGCAATGCACGTCAAAATAATATCTTTTCTGACCAAGGCGTCAACGTCAGGTGTCTGTTTTTTTTGTTTTTGTTGCTTGCATTTGTGTTAGATATCTTTATATCTGTATCTATGTACACGCACACACACACACACACACACGCTCTTCGCTATTCATTGCTTAAGCCCCCCTCTCTCGGGTTCTCTCCACTGGGAGCATGTTATTGTGCCTTTACTTATGCACAATACCACGCTGCCCAGCCTCTTGGCATTCTGCACCGTTTTCGCTTCTTCCCTTCTGACGCACTCACCTCTTTTTTTCTCACCCTCACACACCTACTCATTGCACCGTATTTAATGAAGCGAGCGCGCCTCGGGTGGTTGCTGTGGCTGGCTACAGTTTGAATCGTTTTTCTTGCACGCATGACGAGTGGAGCGACGGCCCCGGCCGCCGTCGAGGCGGAGCTGCAAGAGGAGGCCCTCAGGCGCTTCAACCCGCTCGTATTCACCCTTTCTGTGGAAACCGGGAATAATGTGTGTATCCCCAAGCTTACGGAGGCCATGACGCGGGACCCTGCCTTTGCAAAAGGTTTCTACGTGTTGAATCGCAAGACCAACACTGCCGCGGCGCCGCAGCCGCGAGGAAGAAACGCTGACCGGCGAGGCAAGCAGGTCGACAACGTAAAAGGCGGCGTGGCGCAGTTGCATGAAGACTACGTGCGCATCGCGGTCGATCGTGAGCTAAAACGGCGTGAGGTGGAGCGGGCACGCGAGGCGGAGTACGCGGCGCTGGTGTCTCTCTACGTGGAGGACGGACTCACGGAGGCAGAGGCGGCGGAAGCGGCTAAAAAAGAGATGGAGGAGGCCGCTGTTGAAGGCACTTTAAGCGAAGAGGGCGATGCCCGCGAACGACTATACGTGTTTCTTCCGACGTACCCGGCCAATATGGAGGAGGTGACGGAGATGTACAACAGTGGCCTTTCGCTTCATGCGGTGCTTTCGTTGTCGAGTCGCGTGGCGCTCAGCGGGTCTGTGGCCGCTGAGAAACCGCCACAGTTTTTAGAGTTGCCCAAGGGGAAGGAGAAGAAGGAGACAAAGAGGCCTGTGACCAAGGAAAGGAATGCACAGACTGAAGAAAAGAACCAGCTGACGCTGGCGGCTGAATTACAGCAACACTTGCAGGTGGTGAAGAATCCTTTGCCTTATTTAAGGAGCATTTGCATTCACACATATGAGGTTCCCACGGAGGTGGTGCCGACCGCCGCCAGTAATAACACAGCCACTGCAGCTGCGACGCCGAACCTTGTGGGGGATACGCCACCCGCCTTGGTTTACCGATTGAAGGGCACAGAAGGGGCTGTCTTTAGCGCGGTGGTGGATGCCGTTGTTATGCTTGAGGAAAGGTACATTGGGTTCTGCGAATGGAAAGAGCAGCGGGTGCGGGTGGATGTTCCTACATATATTCCGTTGCGTTACCCGCAAACACTTGAGGCGTCGCCCGCGGCGATGGAGGAGCGGGGGAGGAAAAGGTCTGTGGCCAGAAAGAAGGGTGCCGCCCCCATAGCAGTGCTGCCCTCCGCTAACGTTGAACCCATTCCCGTTTTTGACGCTGAGCCCAGAAATATGAAAGGTGTGGTTGCGCATCGCTCTGTGTATGACAACATTCTTTCAGCTTGGAAGCAGGCTTACTTCAATAAGCAGGCCTTTATCGCCGCATGCACCGCGCAGATTTCAGCAACCCTTGCCATGACAAATCCCGAACTCCTGGAGCCGTTTCCAAATCTGGTGAAGCGTGAAAGGCAGCAAATGTTAAAAGACCGGAAAGAATCGAACGATTTTGTGAAGTATGTCTTTGATGTCGCGACGCAGGGTGTCGAGGACACGCACCAGAAATTTTTCTCAGAGCCTGCGGAAAAGGGACCCACGGTTCCCTGCTCTCCAAAGGATATGCCTTCCACAGATACGAGATCGGGCTCAGTGTCCTCGTCACAAGCGAGGGATTCCAACGCCATTGTGTCCCCAAGCATTGATGGCAACGTTGACAACACCTCAGTAAGCGTAAGGGAGATTGCCGTCTCTCTTATGTCTCAGTCGTTTGGTATTGAGGTGGAACAAGCAAGACAAATGGTGGCAGGGGTGATCTCCCTCGGTTTTATTCACACTGGACAACGGGATGCGCTTGCGCAGGCCTTGGAGAGGAGTAAATCAAGCAGTTGGCGAAGTGCACGTAGAAGTGTAGGCTGCTGCGAATTGGAGGTGCTTTATCGTGGGGATGGGTCATCTCGTACAGAGAGTTCTGTATATAACTTTTGTGGGTCCGCAACCTTTGCCGATTATGTGAGCTGGCATAAGTTTTGCGCCAGCGAGGGGTTGTATTACAATCCACCTCCACCCGACAGTGACGCGGAAGAACCAAGCGAGGAGGAGGAGGAAGAGGAAGAGGAAGAGGAAGAACAAGTGGCTGATGGTGATGAGGATGAGGAAGGAGGAGGTAAGCGGCAATCAGTGCAGACGAAAAGGACCCCGCGACGGAGGAAGGTTCAGGAGACACCACAGGTTGATGCCATACAGGTGGCTGACGCCGCTCTGCGACGCCGTCGTACGTATGAAGACACCTTGAGGCGCCTTTGTCAAAAGGACGGTGTGGTGCAAGAACTGCTGACATCAGGGGCTGGAGCTCACTGCATCGCGGAGGAGACGCAGTGGATGTTCACCGATGACGGTTCTACTATTGAGGTTCGGCGCATCCTGGGAAACACCCCCCAAGTTCACTGCAGCGTGAGCGACTCTGTGGATTTGGCCTTTGGTTTTATGACGATGGAGGAGCCGGCCACGGAAGAAGTTCCAGTTGTCATATCAAGTAATCTACGCGGTTTTCTTACCATCGAACAGGTGGCGCGGTTTTTTTTTGAGGTTGTTGCGGACAACACCGCCGCGGTGGAGCAGGCGGCGTACGCCAAGGCACTGGAAGCGGCCAAGCTTGAGGCAAAGGCTCAACATGATGCCCTGGAACAGACGAAAACTTCAAAGAGCTCCAAAGAAAAAATCCCACTGCCTACGCTTGCTGCCTTGGAGGAGGCCCTCATCTCGCAGATTCCTGCTCCAAAGGAGCGTGAGCAGACAACACCCGTGACGACTGCGCGAGCCTTATTCCAAGATGGGAAAACGGTGATCTTTGCTGCCTCAGAAAAGTGCTTGCATTTTGCTGCCGTTAGAAGTCTACTCCATTCCTCGTTGGTCGATCTCGTGGTGGATGTGTGTGTGGGAGACATTCTACGAAGCATCCGAGTTTCCCACATTGATGCAATCACCGTGTATGTTGATGGATGCGTTTTGGTGCACTCTCAAGATACAGAAGGATACCGTGTTTTGCTTGACGGATCGGGAAACTATATGACAGTGAACGCGGAGGGGACCATGTTGTATGTGGCAGCGTCAGGAACACGTTCAGTAGTTAAGATGGACGGTCAAACGTTGGAATTGGAGCCGCTTCTGGTCGCAACAACGGTGGACACGCTTACAGGGGCGCACGTGCTGTTGCGACAAGACGGCGTCCAGGTTGTGTTGGGCCCTGGCGGCCGGACGGAAAAGGTCATGTACCGCACAGGTTGCTCTTCCTTGGGCGTCGATGACGGATATGCGTGGCACTTCATGGGGTTCCCGGAGATTCGAGTCAACCCTAAAGCCGGTCGACTGGGGTTTACTGTTGACCGCATGGAGACAATTATGGACGTTGGAGAGCAGACTCTTCACGTGATCCACCACCGAGGTGGTGGTGAGGCAGTTCTTGACTGGACAAGTCATCGGCTGCACGTGCGACCGATGCCTAATGGGAATTGCTTCACCATAGACTGTGCCTTTGGTGGTCTAGTGGCGTCCTCCGACGTCACTGATTACTGCGTTTCTCCATTTGGGCGATGTGGGGAGGTCCGAGAAGACGTGTTTAAGGGGACAGAGATTGTGAATCCGCAGTTTTTACAGCGATATGAGGGGACAGGTGGGAATTTTGGCGAGACGGCGCTTCAGAGCAATTTTTGCGTGCTAAATTTTCCTATCAAACCTGTGGATTCCAATTGTCGTCCCACGTTGGGGCCAACGTCTGCGACATTCTCCAGTTACATGCGGTATGCTGAGGGTAATATTGACATGTTGCGGGCTCCTGGTGCCCAGCAGTGCAAGGATCTCCTGCGGTGTCTGGCGCGCATGCGTAGGCGCGACGGGGATGATGGCGTCTTGCTCTTTACGACTCCATGGATTTCGAACGTGCTGCTGCAGCGTCTGAAGGCGGACATCAACCCAACCTACTCGCGTCTGTTTCCGGGGGTCACTTTGCTTGGGGGGGAGGCCCAGGAACACGTTCTCTTCCTCGAGTCATCCCATGCAGCCGCGGAGGAGGAGCGAGGCTCCACCACTCCAATGGCAGGTTCTGTTGCGCAGTTCTTACTCATGTCCCAGTTACCCAAGGCAAGCGAAGCTCCACGAGGGGATGAGGTGTATGCAGTGCACCTTATCTCAACAAAAGAAGGAGCCGTCTTGATGACAGATGATGTGGCAACGCTACTGCGTCACGATCGCCTTTCCTCGTCTGCAGCAGAAATGTGGTCCAAGGCAATCCAGACACTGCCCCTTGTTGAAACAGCAGAGTCGGTGGTGGCGAATTCCACGGACGAGACGCAACGTCGTCAACCGCTTTATGCCTACTCTGTGTCCGGGCCAAGCATTAAGCGTGCGGCTTCGCCGCATGGCAGAACGCGGGCGACGCGGGACGCAACGTATAACTTTTGGCGTTCTACAGGGATTCTTGTGGCGGCTGAGGTGAAGGAGGCTACATTGAATGAAAGCAGTAGCAATGCGTCAGCAGAAATTTCTGCATCTGAGTGTAAGCATGCACCTTTTGCTGATGCAGAACCCCCTCTGGCAGATAGCCCAGAGACCAACAAAGAGAAGCGAAGTTGGGTTCCCTTCATGCATGCAATGGTGAAGAAGGAGATGCCGCTGCAGGAGTGCCACTTCGTTCCGTCGCTGGCAGTGACACCTTTAGTGCTTTCCTTTGGACGCCTGCTACGTGGCAACCGCTACGCTCTACCTTTGACCCTCACAAATACCTCGACTGTCCCCTGCCGCTTCCGTGTCACTCTTCCTGCAGAGTACCGATCCATTCTGCGTGTTCACTACCCGCGGCATTTCTTGGCACCGGGTCTTACCGTTGTGGCACAGGTGGAAGTTTCAGGAGCGCAACCACTGGGGGACACAGCCGGCGTACTCAGTGTCACACACGAGGGAGGGAGTGTCACGGTGGTGGTGAACCTTGAGACGGTAGAGGAAGGGGAATCCTCGTCGCCTGTTGCGGAAGACTCGACGGCGGTGCTGTTGGGTCCCACATTGGTTAATGCATTTGTTCCAGGAACCACACGGCGTCTCCCGCCTCATGTTCTTCAAAGGGAGGCGGCGAAGAAGGAAGTTGCCGCTGACGCCATTGAGCCAATGTAATTTTATTCGATGTTTAGAATAGTACTTGCAGATACCGCAAGGAAATACTGCCTGGTA